GCGGTACGTAACTTACGTTACTTAGTACATACACTTATTACGTAACGTAAGTTACGTAGTGTGTGTGTGTGTGTGTGTGTGTGTGTGTGTGTGTGTGTGTGTGTGTGTGTGTACACATGCAGAGATACTGTTCTTCACAGCCGATACTGCCAAAATACGTTGTGCACATTATTGCACGTTAAGCAGAATAGATAAGATTTCTGATGATGTTATGCTCTAAAAACATTGAACAGCATACCTTTTTGTATATTTTATAGCATAAACACTATAACATATACACATGGCCTAAGGTAGTACATGCACGTGATCATTAAATGTGAGAAAAGATTATAGCCAACATGCCTTTTTGCAGGATTGTGTGTGTCTACCTGTTAGTGGACAGACTACCTCAGGCATTAATGTGAACATGTCCTTAAAATGGATGTGTTCGGACATGCATGGGTGACATTTACTGCATATGGAAAATGGAAAGAGAGGGAAACGGACATCTTGCTCTGTATAATACCAGTGGGAGATACACGCAGCTTTGCACAGAAACCTAGAACACCCTGAAACGCCTTTTTTTTTTTAAAGCTCTTATGTTTCACTCACTCTGATGCCGTCTGTGGCAATGCTGTGTCCTCTTCCATTACACCTGAAAAAGCCAACACAGAATATTATAAATGAAGTCTGAGCGTTGCAAGAAAAGCTCAGACATTGCATGTGAAAAAAAGCCATTTTATTTTTGCGGCATCCCAAAAAGACACGTAAAGTTAATCAGACTGAAATTAATAAGTAAGCAAAAAAAAACAATAGGATTCATGCTTTTCTTTTTAGCTTTTAATAAAGTAAAGTACTCAATTAACCTAATAAGAAACTGCTATTCAATATTCTCTAAGTGCTTTAATTTGATTACTTCCCACAGACCAATATACATAATTAACCGTAGTTTAGTAAACCTCAATGTTAATGGATTGATCCTTAACAGTAATTATGTAATTGGAAATGTGAGAAACTTGCTGTTATGTAATCATTATTATTTTTTAGGCCTGACGAGTCTGTTTTCAGTCTGAAATCTGTTTCTTTGTCTTGTTTTGGAAACACGACTCTCCAGCAGAGGGCAGTGTGCACAAAGGATTAATAGCCTATGCATTGTATGAGTACAGTATGAGTACATATGGGGTGGAAAGACTACACAGAGCATTAAGAGCAGTCATTCATTGCATACAGTAAAATAATCCAACGTATATATAAATAAAATCTTTTTAAAAGCACTTACACACACAGCGTTACATGATCTGTAGCAGATGTTCTAAGAGAAACAGTGAGGGCGTACTGTCGACATTTTGTAAACAGACCTATTATTGCGAAACAGTGAAAGAAAGGTTCCAAGTTGTATCAAAGAAGTTGAATAGAATTAAAAAACATGACCAAAAAAATTGCAATTTGGATAACACACTCCTATTGATGTCTCTTCAGGGGGTCAAAGGGCCCCTGTTTTGGGATCCCAAGCCTCTCAGGAAGGATGACTTTCCAATCTGCAGAGCATGCGGTCTCCTCTGTTCAAACACAGCCTTACAGTTTCCTGTCAGCCCCTCGGGAACGGCTGTCAGATGTCACACTGCAGCTGATTGCACTTGAGAGAAGTGCCACTCACATCCCTGCTGCACACTGTCTCAATACATGGAGAAAAACACAGTAACAGGAAGCTATTTTGCAAGTCATGTGTGTATGGTATACCTTTAATTAACTATTTAGAATACATATGGTTAATTTGTCCTGAAAAGAAAGATGTTTATTAGTTGATTATGCCTTTCAGGGTTCAGGTTATACATGCATTATTAAACAAGGATATCAAACGAACCAAACATATTAAAAAAGGGCTTTGACGTCTTAGGCTAATATGAGGTTTATATGAGAAACAAATGGCACAATGTAAAGACAGGAATAGAATAGAACCAGATGATTGTAAACAAAAGAAAATAGGGGTGTGTGGGTTGTGTGTACATGACATCCTGAACACTTGCACCTGGAATAGTGTGTAAAATATTGGGGTGGATTGTGGTTACTAGGACGCAGATAGAGATGAAGGCCTCTCTGAAACATAACAACAGCATCACTCTCCACAGTCTACCATTGCTGCGATCTGTGGGAGCCAGAGAGGAGCCCTGCAGAGTGACAGGCGTGCAGCACAGCCAATGGAGAGGCTCGCTGACGCACGACGCGGACCAATCCAGTGCCTCTGTGGGCGTGGCTTCCCCCGTGCATTCTGATTGAATCGGTCCAGTTTGTATTAGTTGGACGAGCAAGCAAGGGGGAGCAGGAAGAAACGAGGGAGGGGGTTACCCTTTCAATAAACTGTGTGGAGATACCGGCCGGGCGTTGCTCTGTTTTCAGATGCGGAGTGATTTGAGAGAAAGCAGGGCGCGCCAAATCGTGACGTCTTATTGTCTGAGATGTCTGGATCTTCCCAGGCTGCCTGTACGAGGATGCATCGGATGAGAAGTGCGCAGGGATGCCTCCGTTGAACATGCACAAACAGGGCGTCTGTTACCATGTTGCTATGATGAAGGCTCCTTCCTTTTTGTTGTGATCCGCGAACCGCTCTGTGGACACAAAACGCTCCTTTCGTCCGTTCCCATGAAGAGCATTGCGCACTGCAGTGGAAAAAGGATATCGTGTTGTGGATTTTGAATTGGCTGGTGAGTGTTATACCTAATGAGCTTCTACTCATCTGGGTATCAATCCCCCCAGTATAAGCTGTGTGCATCCTGCAGAGCGTGTTGCTACACGTTCAATGTGAGCAGCTTTGTCCAGTGGTGAGAGCCACTCTCCAAAGGGAACAGATGAGAGGCAAACAATACCATCCACCACTGAAGTTGACTGCGCCTTGGGAGAAGGATGCTGGCTTTGGGAGAAAGCTTAAAACCTACAGGAATCATACCAAGATAATAGCACAGCCTGGGCTCGTGATGAAAGTCCTCCGCAGGAAGAGGATTGTGTTATTCATGGCCTACTTCTTACTGCTGGTCCTCACGATGCTTAACTTGGCTAATTATAAATGGACTAAGGAGCCTCAGCAGTGTAACCATCAGATGAGAAGCACCACTTATCAGGGCAGATCTGACATTCGCTTCCTGTACAGGCCCTCTCTGGCTAAAAAGAGGCAGCTCATCTACGTGCTGACCACCTGGAGGTCGGGGTCCTCCTTTTTCGGGGAGCTTTTTAACCAAAATCCAGAAGTGTTCTTCTTGTACGAGCCCATGTGGCACATCTGGCAGAAACTGTACCCTGGCGACGCGGTGTCTTTACAGGGAGCAGCCAGGGACATGCTGAGCTCCTTGTACCGCTGCGACCTGTCTGTTTTCCAACTTTACAACAGCCCCGGGGGCAAGAATTTTACCTCCCTGGGACTGTTTGGGGCCACCCTCAATAAAGTGGTGTGCTCCTACCCCCTCTGCTCAGCCTACAGGAAGGAGGTGGTGGGGATGGTGGACGATAAGTTGTGTAAAAAGTGCCCCCCTCAAAGCCTTAGACTGTTGGAGGAGGAGTGCCTCAAATATAGCACTATAGTCATTAAAGGGGTACGCATTTTGGACGTTAACGTGCTGGCCCCCCTCATGGAGGACCCATCGCTGGATTTGAAGGTGATACACCTGGTCAGAGACCCGCGGGCCGTGGCTAACTCCAGGATCAAATCCAGACACGGCCTGATAAGGGAGAATTTACAGGTGGTGCGCAGCAGGGATCCTAAACTTCGCCGGATCCCTTTCGTGGATCCCGGTCACAAAGCCAACAAGAAGGACGGCGCGGACTACCACTCCATCGGAGCCATGGAGGTGATCTGCGACCGCACCTCCAGGACTTTGAGGACTGCCTTAAACCCGCCCAGCTGGCTGAAGGGGAAATACATGGCGGTGAGGTACGAGGACCTGGTGGAGAACCCCGTAAAGACCCTGAAGAACATCTACCACTTCGCCAACCTCACCGCCAACCACGACATCGAGACGTTTGCTCTGAACATGACCAGCGGCTCCAGCTCCTCTTCCAAGCCCTTCATCGTCTCGTCCAGGAACGCCACACAAGCTGCTAGTGCATGGAGAACAGTGCTGAGCATTCAACAGATTAAACAAGTGGAGGACTACTGCCACCACGCCATGTCTGTTCTGGGCTACGAGAGAGTCAGAACAGCCGGGGAGGCCAAGGACTTGAGCAAACCACTACTGACACACTCCAAACTGTGAAATCGCCACCAAAGACCTTTTTAATTTAATGTTGCATCGAGTGCCGTTTCTTCTTCTTATCGTGGAATTAAAAAGCTTTACTTTGAATCACTGTTTGAGGAGCTCCACTGGCCTCGCTGGGAATGTATCATGTTTCTCTCCGTTGACTCGCAGTGGTGTTTGAAGGGACCACTTTCTTTTATACTGGAATATTGGATGTGTTTGACAATGCAAAGGCCTTTTGATAAAGGATTTAAATAGTGAAGCTGCAAGGAAAAGGAAAAAAAGAACAACTGTATACTTCATGTATCTTGTTATGATGACATTTCGAAGTGGGGTTATTTTTTGAATGTTCCAAACCTTACAAAAAAAACGGTTTTTTTCAGTCTCCATACCGTCTGTAAAAGTGAAAATAGTTGATGAAAGAACAAAAAAACAAAACTGAGAAAAAGCCCATTGCTGATGTCTGTTTGTAAGACCTGGTTTAAGTCAGAGACAATCAATTGGTTTGTTGATGTGCCATAGGTAGAGGTGTGATGACTAGAATACATCGGAGCAGCGTTAGTGCTACGTCTAGATTTCTAAAAGAGTATGTTTTGATTTCTCACTAAATCCTCATAGGATGATATCATGCACTGTGGACTGTGTCATGGCTCTGGAGCGGGAAGTCTCTCTGTGTCAGTGTAAGCAGTCTCTTCTACCATTTCAAATGTTTACAATTGCTTGCTCTTATAAAAACACATGGTTTGGGAATATTGCATTGAGTAAAGTTCACAGTTAACAAGACGGTTTTACTCTTTTGTGTTGAAGAAACCCACACTGCTGTGCATGTCCATCCTGATACAAAACATACAAAGACTGTGGTTCTCAAAGTGCGGTGCATGAGGAACAGTTACACATTTAAAGGGGACCTATTATGCTGATTTTCAGGGTCTTAGTTGTATTTAGTGGCTCTACTGTGACATTTACATACACAAAAAACACACTACAGGAAAGGGAAAACCCCCAAAAGCATAATACTGGATGTAATCAATATTGTTATAACAAGATACGCGATTAACATATATTTTAATAACAAAGATTTTTCCAAGGCATACCTTATTCCAGTGCCTTTCCTCACCATTTGAGAACCATAGTGCAGTAGTAATGTCACACATGTGTTGCTAATTAGCTACATAACTTAAAGGCCCCCCGTGGAGTTTGACTGTAAACACATTTTCTACCATTCAGCGTTTCTCACCCACAACAATGTGTGTATTCTGGAGGTCTAAGTGAGCTGTTTAATTCATATTTTGCTGGTTTAAGTCGATGTTTCATTTCTAGCAGTCTTATCCTGATGCCTTTCTTTGTGATTAGCAGCTGCTTTCACTTCAGTAGAAAGGCTCATAGCACGCAGAAGCATTTGTGAGAACGAAAACAAACAAAGGAAGGACCAAAACAATGTTCCTCTTTAATTATACTCGGGGTCAAAAACTCCACAGGGTGCCTTTAAGGACGTGTCGTAAAGTGTGCTTCCTAATCATTAGAAAAACTGTATTCATTATTCACTCTGACAAATCGGCTCAAAAAGGGAAATACACTTTGACTTGAATACAAAGGTACAAGTCTAAGAACTTATAACAAAGCTGAATTTCCACCACCTACTCCATCCAGATTTCAATGCGAGTGCTGAGACTTACAGATTTGATCTCGCTTCAGTAAAACAGCTCAGTAACAGTGCCCAAAAAATGATATGTGAAAAGCTCAGAACTATTGCAAGCCCTCGTTTCTCCTTCTTGCAGGAAGCTGGTGGGCGTAAATGTAAAACATGTTTTTTTGACACTGCACTTGATTTTTAAAATGTCAAATTTGTATGTTTCGATGTTTCGATCATCACCGACAGAATGTGTTATTGTGCATTGCGTTGGGATGACCTATTGAACGGGTAATAGATCCAAAACACACCAAAACTAGTCAAATTAGACGAGAAATCTAACAGGAACAGCTCCTTTAAGGTTGTAAAATTGAGGGTCCTTATAATCAAGTCTCCTTTGCTCAAAACGAAGGAGACTGCATGTATTTTCTTGCAGCCATTGAGGAGTGAAACAGAGAAGCATTCCTACGATGCAGCCATGCATTCACATCATAACATAGACAGGCCTCAGTTAAAGTTCAAGGACAATGGCGTTATTATTAATGTGAGGGAAACAGTCTGCATATTCACACAGCCTAACCTTCACAGATTTGATTTGTGCTTCACACGACACCCCGCCTCACACAACGGGGGGATGGTAGCCCGAGAGATTTGTTATGACTCACTGAGAAAGCAGCAAAGACCAATCTATATAGAAGTCAGAGAAAATGCTCACATTTTAATCGTCTCTTTGCCAAATGCTGTTAATACACTCTGGAGGTCTTCGAGCCCATGATAAGCAAGTGGTGATAAATTAAACATTTTGAATCAGTTAAAAGGATTGTAGCGGAAAACAGTGCAATAAAAGTTTAATAAGGGGTTCGGGAGGTTGGCACGCAAATACCATTTCTGCTGATTAAGAGAAATACAGTGGCTTTCAATCACAGCAGATATTCATAAGCTATTGTCCCCAAAAAGCCAGAGACAAAGACCTAACTGTGAAGCTTAGAGCTGCTGTTCTGGAATTTAAAGTGTGTTTTCTGTGTGAAAAGTAAAGTAGACTGAGGACACATTTTAAAAGCAGGATAAATCATTATTAAATTCCTTAACTGGAGCCAAAGCAGTGCAGCAGGAAGTCCTTTCTCCCCGAGTGTGTTTTTGCATGCGCGTCAGAACAAGAGGAGGGCATGACCTTTTAACCGGGAGGCTACTGTAGCGCTGACTCCCGATTGGCTCAACTCAGATGACCCCACTCAGGGACATCAGGGCAGATATAGGATTGGAGGTGAATCGTGCAGCTTCAGGTGATAGCAGGAGGATCGGTGCCGAGTCCCAGATCTCCCTCCAGCAGGTCTTCTTGGTGAGCTGATCCAGAATCACCTCCTCCAGATCCGAACCCCTCCTCCGTTTTCTCCAAATCGAACGTCGTCGAGTCGTCGGGATCTGCCTCACACACCTGCTCTTCGTCCTGAATGGTAAAAATAATGCATTTCATTTTCCCTGTTCTGAGGATGTTTGAAGAATGTAAAAAAAACTCAAGATGTGTCTTACCTCCTGGACATGGGGGCAGCTGAAGAGTCTGGCAAAAAGCCCACAGCACTGTGGCAGTGTGTCGGTGAGGGGGGGGCCGCAGTGTGTCAGCAAGGGTTTAAGAAATCTGTGACCTTGTTAAGGCTTGTTGGCAAAGGTGTGTTACAGTCAATGAGTGTGAACAGGAGAGGGGGGAAGTGTTTCCAAACCAGAGCTGAGGCAGAAGGGTTCTCACAGTAGTAATGTGAGTTAAACCAGAGTTCACCCGGTGGGAGAATTCAGTGAGATTTTATGTGAAAATTGTGAATTTAGAGAGTTCGTAAAGAGTATCAGGGGCTATGACGCTAATTCTCAGGTTCATATCATTATGTAGTTTCTCTACTTTAAAGAGTCCTCTCCTGCTGATGTTCAGGTGTATATCAGTATGTAGTGTCTCTACTTTAAAGAGTCCTCTCCTGCTGATGTTCAGATGTATATCAGTATGTAGTGCCTCTACTTTAAAGAGTCCTCTCCTGCTG